GGATTTATGGGGTCCCAACATGGGTTTATGGGGTCTGTGGGGTCACAGCTTGGATTTATGGGGTCACAAATGGGTTTATGGGGTCACAACGTGGATCTATGGGGTCTGTGGGGTCCCAACGTGGATTTATGGGGTCACAAATGGGTTTATGGGATCAATGGGGCCACAACATGGATTTATGGGGTCACAACATGGGTTTATGGGGTCTGTGGGGTCACAACGTGAATTTATGGGGTCACAAATGGGTTTATGGGATCAATGGGGCCACAACATGGATTTATGGGGTCCCATCCTGGACTTATGGGGTCAATAGGGTCCCAACATGGGTTTATGGGGTCAGTGAGGTCAAAGCTTGGATTTATGGGGTCACAACATGGGTTTATGGGGTCTGGGGGGTCACAGCTTGGATTTATGGGGTCCCAACACGGACTTATGGGGTCCCAATGTGGGTTTATGGGGTCTGTGGGGTCACAGCTTGGATTTATGGGGTCACAACGTGGGTTTATGGGGTCTGTGGGGTCACAGCTTGGATTTATGGGGTCACAACATGGGTTTAAAGGATCACAACATGGATTTATGGGGTCACAAATGGGTTTATGGGATCAATGGGGCCACAACATGGATTTATGGGGTCCCATCATGGACTTATGGGATCAGTGGGGTCCCAACATGGATTTATGGGGTCTGGGGGGTCACAGCTTGGATTTGTGGGGTCACAACGTGGGTTTATGGGGTCTGGGGGGTCACAGCTTGGATTTATGGGGTCACAACGTGGGTTATGGGGTCACAACGTGGACTTATAGGGTCTGTGGGGTCACAACATGGGTTTATGAGGTCTGTGGGGTCACAGCTTGGATTTATGGGGCCACAACGTGGGTTTATAGGGTCACAACGTGGACTTATAGGGTCTGTGGGGTCCCAACATGGGTTTATGGGGTCTGTAGGGTCACAGCTTGGATTTATGGGGTCACAAATGGATTTATGGGATCAATGGGGTCACAACATGGACTTATGGGGTCACAACGTGGGTTTATGGGGTCTGTGGGGTCACAGCTTGGATTTATGGGGTCACAACATGGACTTATGGGGTCCCAACGTGGGTTTATGAGGTCTGTGGGGTCACAGCTTGGATTTATGGGGCCACAACATGGATTTATGGGGTCCCATCGTGGACTTATGGGGTCAATAGGGTCCCAACATGGGTTTATGGGGTCAGTGGGGTCACAGCTTGGATTTATGGGGTCACAACGTGGGTTTATGGGGTCTGGGGGGTCACAGCTTGGATTTATGGGGTCCCAACATGGGTTTATGGGGTCTGTGGGGTCCCATCATGGACTTATGGGGTCCATGGTGTCACAACACGGGCTTATAGGGTCTGTAGGATCTCAATATGGATTTATGAAATCTGTGGGGTCACAACAATGGACTTATGGGGTCTGTGGGGTCACAACGTGGATTTATGAGGTCAGTGGGGTTTATGGGGCTGCAACATGAGCTTATAGGGTCTGTGGGATCTCAACACGGAATTATGTGGACTGTGGGGTCACAGCTTGGATTTATGGGGTCACAACATGGGTTTAAAGGATCACAACATGGATTTATGGGGTCACAAATGGGTTTATGGGATCAATGGGGCCACAACATGGATTTATGGGGTCCCATCATGGACTTATGGGGTCAGTGGGGTCCCAACATGGGTTTATGGGGTCTGTGGGGTCACAGCTTGGATTTATGGGGTCACAACATGGGTTTATAGGATCAATGGGCTCACAACATGGATTTATGGGATCAATGTGGTCCTAACATGGATTTATGGGGTCCCCACCCCCTAGACCCCCAAATCCGACCTGCCCCCCAATTCCCCCCCACCCCCCAAGTTCCCCCCTGCCCCCCAAATCCCCCTGCCCCCCAATTCCCCCCCGCACCCCCCAAGTTCCCCCCCGCCCCCCAATTCCTCACC